CTCTTCCAACCTCTTATTCTTCTTTTTTTATTGCTGAAATTTTGATTATATGTTATTAAAATTTTATCTCACATTTTTTTTCCGTTTTTTTTTTCGTTTATTCTTATTGAATTTATTTTTCATTTTTTTATATTCAATAATGATAATCTCTTGATGAAATATCATTATTTTTTACTAAAATATCTTTATTTTTTGTTGAAATATCATTCTTTTTTACTGAAATATCATTAATTTTTACCGAAATGTTATACATTATTAAATTTTACGTATTAAAAAACTATTTTCGGTTTATAAAATTAGTTTATTTTAATTTTTTAATATCTGCAGCAGTATGCAGATGTTAAAAAAACAAACACGCTTCTTATTATAGTCTGCAGCCGTTTGGTCCACCTCTTCTACTGCAGAGGTTTGCAGAGGTGGTCCGCAGACTTCATGAATTTTTGCTTCAGAAAATCAAACAGCACCTTGGTATCAGAGCGAATATGGTGCATGCCCAAGTATCAAGCTCGCGGGGAAATGGCGGGAGGCAATGGTGGCAATGGTCTAAAAGACGGACTTGTAACCCTCCACTATCCGATGTTGACAAAGGCGAATTATGGAGCATGGTCAATTACGATGCGGGTGTGCATGTTGGCTCAAGGCGTCTGGGATGCTGTAGAGCCCAGAACCTCAAATACCCTTGTTGAATCAAAGAAAGATAACATGGCATTGGCCGCCATTTATCAGTGAAGATATACCTGAAGATCTACTGATGGTTTTGGCGGAGAAGAAGACGGCCAAGGAAGCTTGGGACGCTCTCAAAACCATGTACGTAGGAGCCAACAAAGTGAAGGTTGCAAGGATTCAGATGCTGAAGGCTGAGTTCGAAGCACTCTGCATGACAGAAACGGAAAGTGTCGACGACTTCACCAGAAAAGTAACCAACACTGTAAGTACACTTCGCACTCTGGGAGATAAGTTCGATGAATGTTAGGTGGTGAAGAAATTGCTCAGAGCATTGTCATCCAAATTCGTTCAAATTGCTTCAACACTCGAACAATTTGGGGATTTGGATGATATGTCCGTTGAAGAGGTGATCGGAAGACTCAAAGCATACGAAGAACGAATGAAGAGCCGTGGCGAAAGCGATGAATGGAAGCTGCTATTGACGCAAAAAGAATGGTCTGAAAGAAACAAGAAGAAAATAGAGGGTGATTCGAGACAAAAATCGAATCGTGGCGGTCATGGAGGATCATGGGGTGGTCGTGGCCGAGGAAGAGGAAGAAATAGTGGTCGTGGTGGCTGTGGAAGGGTAAATTCACACCATCTGAAAGAAGGAGGTCAAAGCTCATCAAATAATCGAGATAAAAGTGAGATTCAGTGTTACAACTGCCAGGAATTCGGGCATTATGTAGCCGAATGCACGAATCCCATAAAAGAGCGAACCTACGAAAGCAATCTGGTACAAGATGATAATGAACCTGCACTTCTGTTGTCATCACTCGAAGGGAAAGAAGAAACTGGTGAAGTATTCTTAAATGAAGAAAGCGTGAAGCCAAAATTGAGAACACATGGAAGTGAATCAATCCAGTCAAACCTGTGGTACCTCGACACAGGTGCGAGTAATCACATGACTGGAAATGTGAGCAAGTCTTGTGAATTAGACAGAAAGACAAGTGGATTCGTGAAGTTTGGCAACGAATCCAAAGTGAGAATTGAAGGAAAGGGGACAATCGTGCTAAAATGCAAGAATGGAGAACAAAGGAAGGTTCAGAATGTGTACTACATACCCGATTTATGTAGTAACCTCATAAGTCTTGGGTAATTATCAGAATGTGGGGACGAAATCAGAATCAAGGAGTCGTGGTTATGGGTCAGAGATAAGGAAGGAAGAATCTTGATGAAAGTTCACAAGTCACCAAACCGCCTCTACAAGATCGAATTGGAGGAGGTTAGTTCAATGTGTCTATTAACTCAAGTTTCTAATCCAAATTGGTTATGGCATGCGAAGTTGGGACACATAAACTTCAATTCAATAAAGTATATGACAGACAAGAAGCTGATAGAAGGTGTTCCAAAGGTGATAGTTCCTTCACAACCCTGTGAAGGATGTCTTGTGGGAAAACAAGCAAGGAAGTCATTTCCTTTGAAAGCAAGTTTCAGAGCAAAGAAAAAGTTAGAACTTGTACATGGAGACCTCTGTGGCCCAGTCTCACCACCCACACCTTCTGGTAATAGGTACTTTATGCTAATTGTTGATGACTTTAGCAAGGTAATGTGGGTTTATCTGATGAAATCAAAATAGGAAGCCCTTCAAACTTTTAAAAGTTTCAGAAAGAAAGTTGAGACAGAAATAAGGGCGAAAGTCAAGGTGTTTAGAACTGATTGAGGTGGTGAGTTCTTGTTAAATGAATTCACAAGATACTGCAATGAAACAGGCATGGAGAGGCATTATACATCTCCCTACTCTCCATAGCAAAATGGAGTTGTAGAGAGACGTAATAGAACTGTATTGGAGATGGTTAGATGCAATTTGAAGACAATGACAATGCCAGATGTCCTATGGGGAGAAGCAGTATCACACTCTGTTTATATCTTAAACAGAGTACAAACTAAAGCCCTGATCGATTCAACCCCATATGAAATGTGGATCGGTAGAAAGCCTCACATTGATCATCTAAGAGTCTTTGGGTGTATTGCCCACATGAAAGTGGCAAAGGGCCATTTGAAAAAGCTGGAAGATAGGAGCATGCCACTGGTTCATCTCAGAGTTGAAAAAGGATCGAAGGTGTATAGATTGTTAAACCCAGACACAGGGAAAAATGTATGTAAGCCGTGATGATGTATTTGAAGAAAATAGAGCATGGAATTGGGAAAAATGTGAGAAGATCAAATGAACACCTGGTATGAGCTTCACTATCGAAGGCTTTGAATTCGCCGATGAATACTATGACGACGAGGGAGAGTGGGTGCCAGATACGCCGGACCAAAATAGTGGGTTACCACAGTCAAATGTTAATTCGGGATATGTTGACCAGTCGGATCACCTGAATACAACCCCCCAAATACCCCTATACACTCACCAGTTATGCCCAATTCTCCGATTGTTCAAACTCTTCAAAATTCTCCGATCAATCTCAACACCGCCTCAAGTTCCACCGGTGGTGGTGCCCCAAAACGATTCAGAACACTCACTGACTTGTACGAGAACACCGACGAAGCCAATATGCCCCCTGAAATACTGATGCTGATTTGAAATGATGAAGAGCCATCGACTTACATTCAAGCCAGTAGAAAGAAAGAATGGCGTGAAGCCATGGAAGCTGAATTAGCCTCGCTCGAGAAAAATAACACATGGAAGCTGGTCGATCTTCCTAAGGACCGAAAGGCGATTGGTTTAAAATGGGTATTCAAACTGAAAAGGGATCCGAGTGGAAAAATTATAAAACACAAGGCAAGGATCGTAGCGAAAGGGTATGTGCAACAACATGTAATTGATTTCGATGAGGTATTCGTGCCGGTGGCGAGAATCGAAACAATCCGATTGATTTTAGCGTTAGCAGGCTCAAATGGGTGGAAAATACATCACTTAGATGTGAAATCAGGGTTTCTAAATGGCGAATTAGATGAAGAAGTCTACGTATCCCATTCAGCTGGTTACCAAAAGAAAGGAGAAGCTCACAAAGTCTACAAGCTATCCAAAGCTCTTTACGGGCTTAAACAAGCTCCAAGAGCTTGGAATGCTTGCCTGGATCGTCATCTGAAGAGCCTCGGATTCAAGAGATGTGCTTATGAATACTCACTCTACACAAAGAAGGAAGGAAAAAGACACTCTAATAGTCGGGAGTGTATGTAGACGACCTCTTGGTGACTGGGAGTTGCACTGAAAATATTCAGCTATTCAAGAGAGACATGAACATCAAATTCGAAATGAGTGATCTCGGGCTGTTTTCCTACTACCTGGGGATTGAAGTGAATCAGAAAGGAGATGGGATCACATTAAAGCAAGAGGCATATGCAAGAAATCTCCTCATCAAAACAGGTATGCAAGATTGTAACCCTACACGAACTCCAATGGAACAAAAGCTCAAATTACGCAGGGATGAAGAAGGTGAGCTTGTAAACAACACTGAGTATTGAAGCATTATGGGAGTATTGAGGTATCCTTTGTTGTTGGGATTGTTAGCCTCTTTATGGAGAAACCAGCTTTGAAGCATCTTCAAGCTGTAAAAATGATACTCAGGTACATCAAAGGCACATTGGAGTTTGGCCTAATATATTCAAGGGGGAAAGAAGACGCAGACCTCATTGGATACACTGATAGTGACCTTGGCAATGATGTAAATGACAGAAGAAGTACAGGGGGTATGGCATATTATGTGAATGAGAACTTAATCTCATGCATGTAGTGGTAGTTGCAGTATTTCTCGCATGTTTTTTGTGTTTAAATATGTTATGCATGTAATCGTTGAGGGTATCACCTCTTCTCTTTCAATTTACACAGAAAAGCTTTAAGCTTGAAACAGATTGAGTCATTCTTTCTTTCATCTTGATATTGTACATAACCATTGTCAGAGTGTTACAGGTTTGTGAAAAACAAACACCATTCATACAAAACGATATAGCTTTTGGTATATAAGTTAAATAAGCAATTACATAATAATTTCACTTAAAATTGTATATTTCTTATCAAAAACATATTGACATATATATAGACACGAACAAGACCGCAGAGGGTAGATTTAAATCTACATTTCATAAATGTTTGATTATAGTTGTTGAAAGTTTCGTCAACGGAAACATATAAATAATCTGAGATGAAACTGTGTTAGCTTTTCAATCAATATATGCACAAATTTAAAATGCAAGAAAAGTAAAAAAATTAAGAATACATGAATTAATTTCTTCGTCAACGATAGTTAGATTCCACCAATAACTTAACAACCAGTTTCATGCATTACTTTAACATCTTATCATTTATTATACAACTACATGGCTTAATTGTGAACAAGATATCTAGTTTAGATTCGGTAAGGATCCAACGGTGTTCCGTTGCGAGGACGCGGTTTGCACACGAAGGCCAAGTAACGTGCTACAAAATCCTTGTATTGAAATGATGTAAATACCGGTGGGTTGCTCGATGTAACTAGCTCTTTTGCAGGTTGTATGATAATAGGGACCTCATTCTCAACAGGAAGAGTAGGACTTGGAGAAAAAAACGTGACAATTGACGTTCGAGAAGCACTTGAATTGGTGACCACTCGATGTTCCACACTTTTCAGCTTCTCATTACTTATAATCTACAAGAAAAAAAAAACATTTGTATCATATATATCTTATTTTTAACTACATTTGTTAACTCATGAAGCTTACCTCGAGGGTGTACCCAAGGTTGACCACGAAAGCATTTGGAATTGGGTCAACTCCCATCCATTTCCCATCTTTTTGTATTTGTAGCCCATATTGGTCTTGTTGAAGGAAGGTTATGATGTTTGGGTCCGCATGACCATCTATGCCCATTGCTAAACTTGGATCCGGGCATTGCGGGTATAGGTGAATCGCCATATACTGTTCCTGGCTGACTCTATCGAAATATCCTTCTGGAAGTCCTAATCCTTCTCCGATCATATTCAAAATCTTGAAACCCATTTTCCGCACTTCAGTCGCGTATCTCCCTACCTCCTCCCTGAAACATAAACAGTTAGAAACTGGCAAAATCACTGAAATTAAAACCCTATATAGGTTACCGGTATCTGGCTGGTTTCTCCGGCCATGATGGGATGTGTTCTTCCAGAGGATGACAATCGTGCTTCAATGTGTCTTTCCAGAAATGAACTTTCTCTTTCGCATAATTCACACCGCTCGTATGAAGCGTACAACCTTTACCATAAGTCTTGGCGAAAAGACCTAACTTGTCTTCAATGGGCATGTTAAAGAACTCATCGTACAAAACCCTCATTTCCGCCATCATCTTCTCCGAAACTCCATGATTGATCACCTGTAAATGGTCATCAAGAACTTGTTATTCATATGAATAAGATTCATAGGCTTTCGTAAATGAGATCAAAAGACCTGAAATAAGCCGAATTCTTTACAAGCTTTTAGAATTTGTTGGATGATATCAGACCGATCGTTTTGAAGATCGATCACCGGAATTTCCTTGCAAACGGCAATGTAATCGCCAGGTCTTCTTTCCGGTGGCATGACGTAATCTTTTGGAACAGATTGAACTCCATTAGACCAGCTAGAAACCAGTAGAGACATGGTCGACCTCACTCTGCTTGTATCGGAATTAGGATTGATAATGGAGTCTTATAGAACAAAATTTGTTGCTATATGGGCGCTAACACCGAGATGCTCTAGAGATAGGCTTGGAAGTCAAAAGATTTGGATTCTGATGAAGAAGATATATACCGTTAGAGTTAAAGATGTCGTGTTTGCCAATGTTTAAAGGTATGACTTTTGGCAATGTCACTAGAAACCAGAAAACTACGTGTTAGACAGAATATACAAAGAACTACTAAAGAGTAAACCTAGCATGCAGTTTACATATCAACTACAATGTTTTTTTTTTTTTTTTTTTTTATAATATACTAATATGTTTGATAGACGAGTTTCATTCAGGAATCAATTAAATGATACATTAGCACAACTAATGAAATCATAATTACTGTTTCTTGTTCACTCATATAATCAATATATTGACTCTTGACAAGTTTACAATTATTCAAGTTTTGATCATTTTGCATAAAATATTGGAACATTTGCGATTCATGAAGATGAGATACAGAGATAGTCACATATGATAGAGACTAGTTTGATATGAGCTAGACAGGGGCGGACCTAAGGTGGGGGGAGTGTGGGCAACTGCCCCATAAATAAAATTTTGGAAATTGAAATAACTATAAAATGTTTAAAAGTATACACACTTACATAAATATATATAATCTGCCTCCTTGAAATTTCAAAAGAATTATAATTTAACAACATATTTGCTTAAATGATAGAAAACAGTTCACATTCTCAATAAGATAGCAAAGGAAAATTAATGCTATATAAACTTAAAATGAAAGCAACAAAAATAGAAAGAGGTAACCAAAAGAGTTGTTGTAAGTAAAAAATAATGGACTACTCTGAAAATGAAATTACAACCAGAGAAAAATAACCTCCCTCTTATACCATTGCACCCTTGATTCGTCTCGACCTCTACAACTTGATGATGATCTAAGTTGGTCTCTATTTTCATTTCATTGTCCTGTTTTTTGATTGTGGTTTAAAAAATCATTTTGTCACTTTCTTTTAGAGGAGAAAATGGGAAAATATAAGTCACGTAAGGAGAAGAAAATGAACTTGTGTAAAATTCAGATTTTGATTATTTATATAATATTTAATGTATTATTATAAAAAATTATATAGAAATAGATTTTAGCCAACTTAAGCTACATATTATACACATACAATATATTTATGTATGTTAATTGGTTATTGTATGTTGATAATTTTCTAATTAATTTTGTATATACGAACAAATGTTTAATTATTTATCTATATTTGTTTTAAAAGTCTTAAGATAAGTTAAATTTGGGGGTTTCTTGATTATTTTTATGAATATATAATATAATGTTTGTTAGTTGTGATATAAAAAAATATATCATCTTCTCTCCTAAATCTATTTTGGTACTCTCTTAATGGTCATTTGGTGCTCTCTTTTGATGGTTTTGTGCTCTAGAAGGAAGGAGAACAAGAAAGATTGGTCCTTAAAATTATGCATTTGAAGTATTCAACCTTCATTCACCTTCTAGACCTTGGTAAGCTTTAAAGATCCAAGCTTTATTGTGTTTCATCATTAGATCTATGAGTGCTTAGTGTTTTGGTCCACTTTAATAAGTTTTGGTCCCTTTGTGACTTGTTCCATGGAGTTTGAAGAACTCCATGAGCATTGGTTCATGCTTAAAGTTCGGATCTAGTGATTTGGTGGAGTAAAGAGTGTATGCAAGAGCTCTCTTTACTCCATACATTAAGAAAGATGGGTTTTTGGTCATTTCTCAACTTAGGGTTTTAGATATCAGAAGTTTGTGGTCTTATAATGGATAGAGTTGGACACTTTATCCATTTAGACAACATATTGATTCAAACTTGAAAGTGGATGACTTGGACTTAATGGATTAAGTCGAGAAACATGCATTCTTGAATGCTTTGAGATTTAATGTTTAGATCTTGATTATTTGGATCATCCTAATGGATAAAGTTGGAAATTTTATCCATTATGAAGCTATTAAGTACTAGATATGATGTGATCTGATGTTATGAGCCTTGATCTATAAGGATTAAGCTCTTAATAAAGAAAAGTCCTTCTGACTGAAACCACAACGTGGTCAAGGAAGGCCCACGACATGGTGGCGTGCTGCAATGCATGTGTTTTGTCAGGGCATGGCAACATCGTAGTTAAGAACTCGCTACGGTGCATTGACCGTTGACGTTTTGACCAGTTTGACTTTTGACCAAACTTGGGTAGAATCATGGTCTCGAATTGGCCTTAGGTATCTTGGGTTAGTTGTTTTGTTGCTAAGGTTGTTGTCGAGCTTTTGTTGTTTAGCTTTGGTGAGTTTTTTCACTATACTTTATACTACAATACAAATCCTCTATATGTTAGGATATTGGTATGTTGTAGTGATCTGTTAGGCATGTAGATTTGTTATAATTACTTGTGGTGTCTATTTGGGTAGTTTGTTGTCTATATGCATATGTTGACATGTTATGGGTTGGTTGAGGCGGTCCAGCTGTGTGTTAAAGGCCAAGATTCCTTGGCGGTCCAGTTTTATGTTGTAGGCCTAGGGTGGGAGGTCCAACTTTTTGATGTAGGCCTAAGGAGGGCGGTCTAGCTTTATGTTGTAGGCCCAGTGAAGGCGGTCCAACTTTATGCTAAAATCACATAGAGGGCCAGCTTTGTGTTGAAGGTCAAGGTGGTAGTCAATCTTTATGTTGTTGGCCTAAGGCTGGCGGTCCAACTTTATGCTATAGGCCCAGGGAGGGCGGTCCAACTTTGTGTTGAAGGCCCATAGAGGGCGGTCCAACTTTGTGGTGTAGGTCTTGTATGCGTGCATTGTATGTGTATATTAAATGGGGTGTTTTGGGAAAATCACTAAGCTTTATACTTACAGTTGTGGATAAAATGTTTTTAAGGTATTTATCAGTTCATGGGGATGTGAAGGCATGACTGTACGCACACATCATCAGTTTTATGATTGGAGATTCTGCAATACTTTCATTATAACTCTTAATTATGGATTTCAATTTATGAACAAATGGTTTTGCTTTGAATGTACCTATATGAAAATGAGTATTTATGCTAGTTTTAAAATGAAAATTTTATTCTAAAAATTGAGACGTTTCATAACAACCACTACATAATAGGCATAACCATCAAAAGATTTCTGAACATGTACCAAAACATCAGAGTAAATGAGTTGCAAAGGTTGAGTTGTAGTAAAATAGTTTTGGCCAAAGGGGAGTTTATGACTTTTATTAACTAAACATGAAGAACAATGGAAGTTTAAATCAAAAAAATGAATGGAAATAAGTACCTATGTCTTTTACTAAAGACTTAAAACACGAGTAGACGGGTGACTAAAACGTGATGAAGGTCTAGAGGAGATGTTTTCATGGTTGTGTTTATTTCAGGAGACGAGAGTGGAGTTATGTAGTAGACATCATTTTGGTTCTCCCCCGCATGAGAGGCGCCCCCGTACAGAGATCCTTGAAAAGGCAATAAGTGGGAAAAAAATTCAACAGAGACTTTATTAGTATGACAAAGTTTAGCAATAGATATGATTTGTTAACAAAGAGAAGGAACACAAAGAACATTGGACAAGTGTAATGTATGAGGTGGGATTGTTGGTCCAACCTGGTTGGCATTGATAGTAGTTTGCAATAGCATCGAGTGGAGTAGTAGCATATTCAGTTTCCTTAAGAGAACATTCAAAGCCAACCATATCAAAAAGTATTGGATTAGGTGTCTAAGCCCATAACTATAATTGGTATGAACTTGATTTGATATTAGCATGGTTATTTTGGGTTGTCTTCACTTTATCAACTTAACAAGATGATTTATGGAGAGAGAGGTTAATAAATGATTTATTAATATATTATGGAAATAATATAGTAATTAGAAATCATATTATTTAATTAGTATTTAATCATAAATTAATTTGGAATTAATTTTGAGATTAAATGAACCGATTAAAAGAACCCGGGGGGGGGGGGGGGGGTGTTTTTCAAACCATTTATAGTTCCACTGCTGGACTCCTCTTTTATGGGGTGGACGAAATCTATAGGGAGTCCCTATAGAATTCATCTAAGGCTTCTAGAAGTAGAGGTCCATGGACTATTTAGGGCCTAAGTAAGAGATTAGGGTTTCCACCTGAAAAACCATAGTAGCCTCAGCTATTTAAAGACCCTTATGCGTGTGATTTTCGACTGCTTCATAGAAGAAACCCTAGCTGAAATTCTAAGAGTTTTCTCCTCTCTCATTCTCATGCTCTTGCTACAAGTGTTTGTGAGCCATTAGAGGTGCAACACTTGGGTCACTAAGCTTTCAAAGGTCAAGATCAAGCTAGGAATTCGTGTTATTAGTATATAGCAAGCAAGGTAATCTTCATATCCGTTTTTTCATATGTGAATTTTGAATTATATATGCTAGATCTAGGGTTATTGCTTTTGAATTTCTTTTGCATGTTCAATTAGTGAAAAAATTAGATCCAAAGCAATTAGGATGCATGAACACATAAGATGTTGTTATGCTCAAAACCCATCAGTGGTATCAGAGCCTATGATGTTTTTCTATTGAATTGGATGCATTGATGAACTGTCCAAAGCAGAAAGCAAAGCAGATTCGCAATCTGTCTGCGCAACTCGACGAGTTCAATGAGGAACTTGACGAGTTGGGTCGAATCGATGAGTCCATTACCTAACTCGACGAGTTGACTCGTCAGATGCCTGAATTTTCGACTATCAAATGTTGTTTGGATTAGGATAATTACCACAATTCATATTTAATGTCTTAAATTGAATTTTCTACATGATAATCTGATTTGCTTATCAAATAAGAATGTTTTGGTTAAATTTTAAGATAATGAAAAAATTATTTTATTAATTTAAGTATTTAAATTTTGATCTAGTAATTTTGAAAAGTTTCAAATTACACCCTTTAGTTTTGGAATTTAAAATTTAATTAAAAGTTTAATTTTGAAATATTATATTATAAA